TTTTTTTTTTTTTTTTTTTTTTTTTTTTTGCTATGGTTGATCGTTTGAGAGTTTTCATTGAGTTATAATTTTATTCTTTGACACGTTTCTTCTGCTGTAGCTGTAAGAGTGGCATGATGTGGAAGTTTACCTGATACTGAAATATTTGGTTGGTTGTTTTTGTTTGGTTAATTGGTTGAGGAGGCTCAATTTAATTTCAACCATATCATACATTGAATATGTCTGGTGAATGCTAAGGCTGTCTGTTGGGAAATATAAAGAATTTTATTTTTAACTTGATGCTTTTCTTTCCGGCTTTTTAATATAATGTGCTATTATCTCAGCTAATCGTATTCCCCTTAGCTCGTAGGATAGTAATTGTGTATACGTATGGTACTTGTAGGATAGTGATAGTATACGTTTGGTACTTGTTTCTTATTTTTTTTTAAAATAACTATTGTATATCATGTCGACATTACCAATATACGTGTTCCGGGAACAGCAAAACAAGACTTTGTTATGAGTCAGCTTATTACATGGACCTCTTCTGGAAGTTGTAATTTCGACTATTCATTTTATTTTCAGGATCATTTCGCATTGATGATGGAGCTTCTTGGAGTGATGCCTCGCAAGGTAACGTTTACATACTTATAAATACCATGTTGTCATTATTATATTTATTTGAAAAAGTTTCACTTATTCATATGTTGCTGTTTCTTAAAATATCCGGCACAGATTGCATTAGGTGGCCGCTATTCAAGGGACTACTTCAACAAATATGGTGAGTTGAGGCATATTCGTCAATTGCGCTTTTGGCCTCTTAATAAGGTGTTGACTGAGAAGTATGATTTCAGCGAGCAAGATGCTAATGGCATGGCTGACTTTCTTGTTCCTTTATTGGATTTCTCACCTGAAAAGAGACCAACAGCAGCACAATGTCTCAGCCATCCGTGGTTGAATTCTGTCCCAAGAATTCTTGAATCTTCTGGATCAACCCATCAAAATCAGCCCAAAGATCAGAACGCTTCAACTAAAATAAGCGAGAAGGGCGAGAGAGAAGCTATGGAGATTGGAATGGGAAACATAGCTATTGATGGAACTTCGAAATCGATGTCGTCGAAACAGACATGACTAGAAACGCAACGTACGCAATTTCAGGCTATGTTTCGTGCAGTATAATCCCACTTTGTAGCTCAGGTTTCCATCGGAGTTGGAAACATATTCATGAACGACATGGATTCAGCGTTGTCTTACATGCTATCCGAAGCAATCATCATATTGTGCTTGGAGAGGGTAGACCGGCTTTCGTAGGCCCATCTCGAGTAACTTCAAACAGTGGATTGTTTTGACAGAGAGTGCGTTCGAGTATGGTTTGCATATCTTTACAAACTACTATTATTTCCAGGTCTCTAGTAGCACAACTTTCTGGATCAGAGTTTCTTAATGAAACCTTGAACATATATAAAATATATTTTTGGTGTTAGATTCTTGTCATTTTGTTTATTGTATAATGTTTGTCAATATCGGTTTTCTATTTAAAAATGAACTTTTTCTAGATATTAAAACTTTTCAGATTTAAGGATGGAGGATATCGGGCCCAATCAACAAAATGAGCATCTAGTCGAGTGCCGGATAGACTGGGCAGCCTGAAAAATTTCAGGCCATACAAATACGACGCTTCCCTAAATACAATCATGTGGGGAAGTCGAGGTTGAAGTCGATTGCAAGTCCATAACCTAATCCTATTCTTGACCCTTGAAACCTGTCATGGAGTTGGCCTTGGATTTCAACCTTGTAGAAGCAGAATTGGAGCCAGACCTTGAACATGTAGAAGCTGGTAATGGACTTGTCCATTGTCACAATCGCACTTTTGCAGAATAGCAAGTGTGCGACACTTATTCTAACCTAATGAACAAATCAGTGATGTAAATTTTAGAGTTCGTGGACGATATCGACGTATGCTTGAAAACTTGAGCGAGTTAATACGCTAATTTATTTGATATTTTTTTTCAAGTTCTGTATCTATTAAACACAAAAGTGAGAATTCAAAAACTTGTCTAACTACAATTATTATTAATATTAGATCTATTTTGTTGATATTTTAAAGCATTTTTTCTAAGACATAACAAAAATACTAATTTTTCATTTATTACCATATTGAACTTAAAAACACATGAAAATGTTGGCACAACTTTGACATAATGGTTTATGGATCCTTGTAGGATGGCTATTGTGTAAGCCACTTGTAGTGATAATGAGAAGTGGGCTCTTGGGTGGAACACTTCAATAATGGTTTCGGTGCATGCCGTTCAAACCACTTTGTGAGGATGTCATAAAGTTCTAAACACTTTCCTTCGACCCCTTTTTCTTTTTATACAACTTCCAAGAATATGAGAAAAGCACCAAAACATCTACCTTTCTCTTTTACGACCATTATTGAACGATTCAACTATTCGGGAACTTTCATGTTTGTATCTACTAGAACGTTCAAGTTCATATATTTTAAGTGTTAAGTGATAAATTATGAAATCTCATATCTGTTGGAGAGGGAAATAAAACATTCTTTATAAGGGTGTGGAAACCTCTCCCTAGTAGATGCGTTTAAAAACAGTGAGGCTGATGGTGATACGTAACGGGCCAAAGCGGATAATATCTTCTAGCACTGGACTTGAGCTGTTACAAATGGTATAGAGCCAGACATTGGGCGGTGTGTCAACGAGAATGTTGGACTCCCAAAGGGGTGGATTGTAAGATCCCACATTAATTGGAAAGAGAAACAAAGCATATCTTATAATAATGTGGAAACTTCTTCCTAACACACGTGTTTTAAAACCGTGAAGCTAACGACGATACGTAACGAGTCAAAGCTGACAATATCTGTTAGCAGTATGCTTTATTCAACGAACGTGTTCAACACTAACATCAATACAAGTTCATAAATTCATCTTCAGTGGCATACATGTCATGATGATTTTCATATCCTGTCTATAGTGTTTCATCATCATTATGTGTTGTTTATATATTGTTTAGACGGCCAAGATCAGCATAGTACTTGCTGATCCATCCTTTAATGATGTTAATCTCTGTCTCTCTTTGTTCCACCAACCACTGTGGATCCGTTTCATTTGCTCGTAAAATGTCCAAACAATGAGATCCTGGAAAGTTCAAAACATGTCAGCTCAAAAGAACAAAGCTTTGAAGTTAGAATTTATGAGTTTGAATCAAACCATTAGGCGTATGGAGTGCAAGGAGACTGTCGGATAAGTTACTCAGCACTCTGCATTCACAAAGAGAGAGAGAGTTGAAGTAAAGTTGATTGTTCTTTATGTGTAATAAATGTTGGAGCTTTAGTTTTTGTTTACCCGCCGCTGCTATAAGGGTCCTTGAGTCCATTGGAGAAAATGATGTTGCTGCCAAATCTCTTAAGGATGAGTTTTATGTCCTGAAATTTGGAGACAAAGAAATTGTGAAATTTTTTTGTAAGGGTGTAGAAACTTCTCCCTAGTAAACGTGTTTTAAAAATCTTGAAGGGAAGCTTGAAAGGGAAAGCTCAAAGACGACAATATTGGCTAGTGACTATTACAAATGGTATCAGAGCTAGACACCGGGCGATGTGCCAGCGAAGAGGCGTAGACACGAGACAGTGTGCTAGCAAGGATGCTGAGCTCCGAGAGGATAGATTGTGAGATTCAAGGAGAAAAAAACATTTTTTGCAAGGGTGTGGAAACCTCTCCCTAATATAAAAACCTTGAGAGGAAGCCTAAAGAGGAAAATATCGGCTAGTGGTGGGCCCGAAGGGGGTGGACATGAGGCGGTGTGCCAGCAAGGATGCTAGGTCCTGAGGGGGATGAATTGTGAGATCCATTAACAGAATGGTCGGATGAGCCTCGAAGGGGGGTGGATCCGAGGTGGTGTGCTAGCAAGGACGCGGACTTCGAGGGGGTAGATGTGGGATCTCACATCGATTGGAGAAGGAAATGAGTGCCAACGAAGGCGCTCGCCCCAAGGGAGGGGGTAGATTGTGAGATCCACGTTGGTTGGGGAGGAGAACAAAACATTCTTTATAAGGGTGTAGTTTTAAAATTTTTGAGGAGAAGCCTAAGAGAGAGTCCAAAAAAGACAATATCTACGGTAGATTTGGGCGGTTACAGTACGATGAATAAAGAAAATAAAGAAAATGAGAGAGGTGGTTGAAGTGCATACATGGCCTCCATAATAGGTGGTGACCCAGTGAGGCCTCGGAGACACACCATATAACTTATTGCAGTAATCTATGAAGCTTCCAAGCTCAAAATTGTATGCTGGAAACATAGTATCATTGCCTGTGCTTAATTGCATCACCATTTCACTGCATCTCTGAGTTACACACACAACACAAAAGCTTCTTAAAACGTCCTAAAAGATGAAGCTTTTTAAAGTTCAATGCATCCCACGTCGGTATTCGTATAATAAAAAGATTACCTGCCACCTCCATCCCACATCGGTTTCAGTCTCATCTCTGGGCTGAATCTGGTAGCAGGATAGATTTCCTTTATAAGCAAACACCCCTGCAGCAATTCTGCCAACAATTCCACTTCCAGATGAAGCTCCATCAATGGCATCACAGATTCTAGTGACCGGATATCTTGGTGGGCGGTTGTATTGGGCTGCGGTGGTATACATAGTCCACAAGTAGTCTTTCAGCTGAAAGAAGTTATCCAGAGGACTAGAACAAGAACAACCGATTAGAAGCACAAACTTCATTAAATTTGGATATGAGAAGCCATGAATTATAATACCTGCAGCTGTTGAACTCTTTGCTAAGAATGGAAAGACCATCAGGCTTGGAAGCAATTGTTTCAATCTCGGACCAGGAATCCCGAATAGTTTCATAGCAACTTTCACTAACTTCCTGCAAATTCATTCGCATTTTTGTGTGTTTAAAAAGTTCAAAAGGTTCAAAAGGATGCATTTTTGTTGAAGGGTCTTACTCTGAAATCCTTAGTGGCAATGGAATAGTATGCATTATGTGGCGTGATATCGTCGAAGTAAAGGATTGGAGCTGAAGAAGCAAGAGCTCCAAGGGCCATATGAGGATATTTCAAACGAAACCATGCGGCCAACACTGTTTCCAACAAAACAAAACAAAAAAACATGTTAGGTTAGCCTCACGGTTTTAAAACGCGTTTGCTAGTGAGAGGCTTCCACACCCTTGTAGAAAATGCTTTGTTCCCCTCTCCAATCAATGTGGGATCTCACAATCCACCACTCTTGGTGGCTTAGTGTCCTCGCTAATACGCTGCCTAGTGTATGGCTCTGATACCATTTGCAACAGCTCAAGGCCACCACTAGCAGATATTGTCCGTTTTTGCCCATTACGTATCGCCGTTAGCCTCACGGTTTTAAAACGCGTCTGCTAGGAAGAGGCTTCCACACCCTTACAAGAAATGCTTCGTTCCCCTCAATAACCGATGTGGGATCTCACAATCCACCCCTCTTGAAAGCCCAGCGTCCTCGCTTGCACACTACCCGGTGTCTAGCTCTGTTACCATTTGCAACAGCTTGAAGCCATAGCTAGCAGATATTGTCCGCTTTGGCCCGTTACATATCTCCGTTAGCCTCACGGTTTTAAAACGCGTTTGCTAGGGAGAGGCTTCCACACCCTTATAAGAAATGTTTCGTTCCCCTCTTCAACTGATGTGGGATCTCACAATCCACCCCTCTTGGAGGCCTAGTGTCCTCACTAGCACGCTACTCAGTGTCTAGCTCTGATATCATTTGTGACAACCCAAGGCCATCGCTAGTAGATATTGTCCGTTTTGGCCCGTTACGTATCGTCATCAGTCTCACAGTTTTAAGACACATCTACTAGCAATTTGTTTCCACACCCTTATAAGAACGGCTTCATTCCCCTTTCCAACTGACATGAAATCTCACAATTTTAAATGAGAACCGACTTACTTCCACCATATGATCCACCAAGAACAATCACAGGAGAATATTTAGCATGCAACGTCTTTTTAACATGTATAAGAACATCAGCATAATCTGCCATTGCTTGAGCTGAGTTGAAATAGCCTAAAGTGCTTGCATTCTTCAATGCTACCTCCCTTGATCCAAAGGGTATCGATTTCCCATAATAACGATGCTAACAACAAAACAAAACAAAATCATATAAACCGTCCAAAGCATTAAGTATGAACCACACAAGAACATGAAAGCTCTTACCTCAATATAAACAAGAAGAGCCCCAAATTGAGCAGCATTATCAGTCAAGAATCCTACCACGTTCAAATCTTTATCCAGTGGACCTTCTACTCCCAAGTAGGCAAGAATGGGAGCGCTGGAATTTGCGCCACCCCAATACTTAAAATTGATTATATATCTATGAGCGAACGTGGTGTAGCTTTCAGACCTATAATTGAAGTGATCCAACGTTTGGTCGTAATAAAATGTCTTAAAATCATCCGAAAGAGGCAAGGACAGAGCTTCAGAATCTCTGTCTATTATACTAAGCCTTGGGATTCTGTACTGTGTTGCAGAAACACAGGCTGAAAGGATGAGAAGTAAGCAAGGAAGAAACATCATGACAAAGTGTTTGGTTTGGCTTTCTTCACAAACAAACAGCTCCTTTATATAACAAAAAGTTGCCCGGTTCACGGGTTCGGGTCTCGAACCAGCGGTTCGTAAGCTAGGCCAAGGCGCCTAATGAAAGGCAGTTGAATGGTTGATTCATAGAGGTTTCTGCCAAATAAAGACACTCTTCAACAGTTTCATTCCTAAATATGCAATGAAGATGTTGTCCTTACCAAAAATTTGCTTTTCTAATGCTAAAATCAATTCAAGATTCCTTAGTTTTAGAATAGTGTCTCCTTGAATAAAACTTCTTCGATGGGTCGATTAGAGATGTTGATTGGTTGAGTTGGATCTAGTTGGCTCAGATATTTTTTAGATCTAATCTAATTGTTTGAGTGGTAAAATTTTCAACCCCAACAATACTTCATAAATAATACAATAAAGTTTTTGAGTTCAATTAATTTCGATTGTTTGGACAACTATACGTGTGTGTATATATATAACTCGATTCGAGTTGGTTTAGTTCAATCCAATCGAGTTTCATTTTTCTAATTATCAAGTTTGTTGGTTTGGAAGATCGGAAGCTAAAGCTTATAAAGTAGATGGAAAATTCAACACTAAACCGACCATTGATCCAAGTTTGTGCCATTGAAAAAGTCTTTTGAAAAAACATTAAGTTTTGATACTAACTCGTTTATATACATTTTTTCGTTTAAGATAATTTTAAAATAATTAAATTTATATGGGCTATATTTAAAATCATTTTTGCAACATGTTTTTTATTTATATATAAAAAAAAAATTATGACACGAAAATTATATATAAAAGCGTAAAATTATATATTAAATTATTTTTAAATGATTAAAATTAAAGAAAGTTTGAGGGCAAAATGAATTGAATAAAATTAAAAAAAATTAAATTAAATAAATTAATTAATTAAAAAAAAAAAGAAGGATAAGAGATAAAAATTAAATATGTGGTCGGATCAAAATTAGATATTAATGGAATGAAAATGAAATTTATTAAAATAAAAATATAAAAAAAGTGAAAATTGTTTTCGATGAATTTTTTCATTAAAAATATTTAAAGTAAAATAAGAATTAATATTTTGAGTTTGAAAACTTAAGAATTTAAGTGCAATTAAGTTGGAACCAAGCTGTATTGCACGTGTCTTGTTGTTGGTTAACAAGGTTGTTTGTGACATCTACGGTAGTGGTGCTGGAATGGCTAGCGTATTCAAACGAGGATCGATGGTGGAGAATGGTGACACGTGGCGACGAGGATTAGCAATTGTTCCAACTTCGGTGGACGAGCCCCCTAGAGAGACACAGCTGCATGAGAGTACTAAAAGAATTATGGAGTTGGCAAAATCATCCATAATCATTACAAATTAGAAGGTTAAGAGAGGGGTAGAATCGTCTTTTTTCAATTTTCTCATTCCACCCATGCCCTCACATGAAGGATGAAACCATTTTTCTATTAATTTTTTTTTTAAATCTAAATTGGAATTTATAATTTCAACTCAACTTTATTTTGTTTATTTTCTAGTTTAGCATTATTTTTTTTTTTTGTTAATAATATTATAAAAGAGTTGAATAAATTTTAATTAAAAAAAAATTGTGCATTTCATTTCACAAAAACATTAGGTAATAGAAACAATTTATTTTGGGCTTCCTTAAGAAAAGTATATAGTTCAACCATAAATTAAATTGCTAATACGAGCAAAGGATTTAGAGAAAATAAAAATAAAAGTGTTTTTGAGAGTGGAACTAGAAAAGGTAAGTTTTATCATTCTCAAAATTCCTCTAATAAGGTTTCTAAATCCACTCATCGTATTTATTCTCGCTAGATTAATCAATAATAGAGATTACATATATTATTTCAATCGTCCATCATTGAATAATAAACTTTATATGTATAGAAATTTGGACGAGAAGAATCAGTAAGACACCTGGATGGATGGATGGAACAAGAGGAGGAAGATCAACGAATCTCACTATTAGTCCATCATTTTTTGTCTTTATTGTCATCTAATTTGTCATAAGGAGTAAGCACGAATCACTTCTAGAATAGGCGCATGACACATCGGACACTTTCCTCTTGCTTCGACCAACTCGTTAGCACATTTTGTACATGTGCACATGTGCCCGCATCTATAGGTTGTAAATGAGAAAATATAAGTTAAATGAAACTTAAACTAGAGAGTCATACAAAAATGGTCGGAAATTTTTTTGGAATTACCTGTACAACAAAGCATCAATATGGTTATCACAGCATATACAACAAATTCCTTTCCTTACTCGGTCCCATTTGGGTTCTTCGTCTGGCAAACTGTCTTCAAATATCTCTGTTCAGGGACATTATATGCAGCAAAATCAGTCGAATGACATGTGAAAGTGATATCATATAAGTGACCATAACACTAAAGACTATCCCATCCTCCCTCCACCCATGCTAAATAACCATTTGAGTAAAGTATGATATAGTTCAGTGGTTCAAGGCAGGAGTCACATTAAAAAAACAAAAGTCCATGTCAAATTTTGGAAAAATATAATATCCACGACATAATCTAAGTACGATGTTCTATCTTTATTTAGGGGTGGGGTGGGTTCCAGAGACAGCTTGTTACCTGATCAAATCTAAATGACGTAAAAACTAAAGAATTCTGTTGCATTAAGAATGAAGGCAAACCTTCTGAACCAAATGTTCGGTTCAGTGCAAAAGAAACTTCTTGCTTAATTGAGCGTTGCAACTCAAGTTGCATGTCCATACATGTCTCCAACATTCTCTGTAGGTTGCTCATCCTCTGCTGTAGCCTAGACATGTCGATCCTCAAATCGTTAATGATCTCCCAGTCCTGTAAAATTCAGCAACAACATCAAATTTAAAAGAATAATAATAACAAGAAAATAAAGAACGAAAAAAAGATAACTAGATTATTTAACAACCAACACTGACTTCACCTAATAGACAATTTCAATAATTCTAAATAGAATTATAGAATCGCTATTCATCAATCGTTTACCATTGATATTTGCATGTTTTCGTATCTCTTTTATTTACTTTGATCCTACTGATTTCACCCAAAAAGACAACAAACAAGGGAATAATGATGACACATACCGCTCCAAACTGCTGACGGAAATCATGCCTTGACCAACTATCATGACTCAATTCATGATCCCAAAGTTGTCGAGGGGGCATTGCAGGTGGTAGAGGCAAATCAAGTGGATGGCTCTCAGCAGAACCCGCTTGACCTATAGTCTGCCTGTCGTGCTCTTGCTCTTGTTCTGTAGACGTGTAAGGGGACATCATCTCGTCTAGATCCCCATTACTGGTACTGTGACCTCGCCTGTCTATGTAAGATCGAATTAACCGGTCAAGGCTTTCTCGGAAACCACTACTGAGAAGAGTAGAGACACTTCTCCTGCATAATAAAGAAAAATAGTCCACATGTAAATTCATCATTTGTCTGAATTCAGCAAGGCAGGTTGTGATATAAAATTTTTTATACCTGTTTAAAAGTTCTCGGATTTCCCCATTATGCACATTATTCTCTTCAGGAAAATAAAAGGTCTCCAACCTTTGGCTGGATGTAGCCTCCCGATTAGGAGAGCCTTCTAACCAATTAGGCACATCCTCCATAAAGATAACATTTTCATGTGAAGCTCCAGGTGCATTTTGCAGATGAATATCTCCTCTATGTGTCGTACTCAAGAATTCTCCAGACCAATTAGTAGTGATGCTTTCCAACTGAGTTTCGTTTATATCTTCTTCAATGCTATTTTCCCATTCATCCGGTTGAAAACCAGATTCGTGCCAATCATTTGGCTCAACTCCCATACCTAGTTCTTCATTCAGTTCCTCATGAGAAGTAGATTCCAGCGGATCTACATTTTCAAGATCATTGTCCTGAAAACTTCCAGAATGATCTGATAATACTCCAATATCATCATTTTCCTCATGGGTATCAATTTGTTCAATGGAAGATTCGACATCTAGTACGCTAGTATGGTCCTCGACATGAATTTGAGGAACTTCACGGTATAAAATATTTGCAGCAGTTTCTTGAAAAATTCTTCTCATACGTTGTCCTGAATCTTCTCTCATCTCCATCGAGTTGATATCAGCTGTTTGGCTGGCTAAACCATTTTCTGCAACCTGTTCTTGTGTACTTTCTACCGCATCAAGCGATGCTTCCCTACCTTCAACAGTACTTCCTTCTAGATCATATCTAACTTTAGTGAGACCAATGCTATAAGAGCCTGCGTTATGACTTTCCACGTTACTTGGCCCAGAACGTCCAGGAAGATCATCTAGGACCTCAAAACTCCTTGTACGATTCAGGTCAGTTAGAGAATCACCATCATCACTGTTATATGTGGTGTCAGAATGTCGGCTACTTGCTTGATCTTGAATAGAATTATCCAATCTGGAGAAGAATCCTTCCCTAATTCAAAGAAAGTCAAAATATCATTGCTATTATCAAAAGGGATAGGAAAAACAATTGGCAAAAATTGGCAAAAATTCAAGGTTGACACTCAAGGAAACAATACACGACTCTCACAACATTTGGAAGCTCCCAATCAAAGAATGTTAGTCTTCCAAGCAGGTAGCTAGTTTTGGACCTAAGACTTCTTGGTTAAAGTTAACGACCCTTAACCACAATGACCAATAATTAGATTTGTGTTTTTCTCGACTATAACTGGTAATGAATTCAAGTTCAACGTCCATCAATGTTAACATTAATGCAGAAAAAGACGTTGGTAATAACGAAGGTTTATAAGCTCTAGGTTTAGTTTAACCAAATTAAGACACAATAATCAGTGATCTCATAACTTTTGGATTGAGGAAATACAATCGCATATGAAATTGATTACTATTTTTTATACCTCTATAATTCAGAAAAATTTAGTTTCCTAATAATGTAATTAGCATTAAGGATGTCGTTAGACATTAGATATTTCATCTTACATGCTAATGATGATTGGAGTGACATTGATGAGACATTCGTAGCA